AGGATCCGCCGAACTCGACTTTGCTAGTGTCCAGAGAGGCAATGCCGAAGTCCAGCGGAGAGCTCAAGAGGTTATCAACGCCTGTGTAGCCATGGGAGACAACAACCCCATCAAGTTCATCCACGATGTTGGTGCCGGTGGCTTGTCCAACGCCCTTCCTGAGCTGATCCACGACTCGGGCTTGGGAGCTACGTTCGAGCTCCGTGAAATCGACAACACCGACCGTAGCATGAGCCCCATGCAAATTTGGTGCTGTGAAGCCCAGGAGCGCTACGTCATGGCGGTTGGCGAGGAAAGCATGAACAAGTTCACTGCTATCGCTAACCGTGAACGTTGTGGCTTCTCCGTTGTCGGTCGTGGTGGCGGTGCGTCCGAGGAAGAAAAGAGACTCATTCTCCTTGACCGAGAGTCTAAGGAGTACCCGGCCCCGATTGACCTTCCTTTGTCTGTGCTTTTCGGAAAGACTCCTCGCATGACCCGAACTGTCGATTCGCGGAAGCTGAAGCTGCCCGCCGTGGACTCTAGCCTTGCCAAGTATCTTCCCTCTCTCACCTCGAGGACGGAGATTGTCGATGAGGCTATCAAGAGAGTGCTTTCTCTGCCTGCAGTCGGCTCCAAGTCTTTCTTGATCACTATCGGCGACCGCACTGTCGGCGGCCTGACAGCTCGCGACCAGATGGTTGGCAAGTGGCAGACCCCCGTGTCAGATGTCTCGGTTACTGCCACTGCCTTGGCCTCAGGTATGAAGACCGGCGAAGCCTTCGCCATGGGTGAAAAGCCTACCTTGGCCCTCATCTCCTCCGCTTCATCTGCTCGTATGGCTGTTGCTGAGTCACTCATGAACTTGGCTGCTTCCGATCTGGTGGATCGTCTCAGCCAAGTGAAGCTCTCTGCCAACTGGATGTCCGCTGGTAGCCACCCTGGCGAGGGTGCCGCTATCTATGAAGCCGTGGAGGCTGTTGGTCTGGACCTGTGCCCTAAGCTTGGCATCAGTATTCCCGTCGGCAAGGACTCCATGTCCATGAAGATGAAGTGGAAGGATCAGGTTTCGAATGAGGCCAAGGAGGTCACTGCCCCCATGTCCTGTGTCATTTCTGCCTTTGCACCGGTCGGCGATTTCACCAAGACCTGGACCCCGGCTCTTCGTAGCTACGAAGAAGTTGGTGAGACTGTCCTCATGTTTGTGGACCTTTCGTTCGGTCGCAAGACACTTGGTGGATCGGCTCTTGCCCAGGTCTTCAACGAAGTTGGCTCTGAGTGCCCTGACATTCGTGACGTTGATCTCTTCCGGGACTTCTTCGATGCTACACAGCAGCTTCAAGAAGCCGGAATTGTTTTGGCTTACCACGATCGCTCCGATGGTGGTCTTCTGACTACTCTTGTTGAAATGATGTTCGCTGGTCGCTGTGGTCTTGAGATCATGCTTGATAATATCTGTGCCTCGTTCAACACCAAGGATGTCATTGAATCCCTCTTCACTGAAGAGCTTGGTGCTGTCTTCCAAGTCCGCAAGGAGCACGAGATCCAGTTCCGCTCATGCTTCGCCACTTGCGGTCCTCCTCCGGGTCTGATTCACAAGATTGGACGTGTGGCTCAACAGCCCAAGCAGGACCTTGCCATTTACCACAAGGCCTCTTTGGTTTACCGCAACACCCGTTCCAGCCTCCAGCAGATCTGGGCCAAGACCTCCTACCACATGCAGAAGATCCGTGACAACGCGGACTGCGCGGAGCAGGAGTATGCCAACATCCTTGACAATGCCAACCCTGGTCTCTCTTGGAACCCTACCTTCGACCCCAAGGACAAGGGCTTGCCCATGATGACTAGCCTTTCCCAATACTCTCCCTTTGCCAACAAGCCCCGTGTTGCCATCCTTCGTGAGCAGGGTGTCAACAGTCAAGCTGAGATGGCCTTTGCCTTCAACACCGCTGGTTTCTCTGCCGTCGACGTTCACATGAGCGACATTCTTTCCGGTCGTGTGTCTCTCTCCACCTTCGCCGGTCTCGCTGCCTGCGGTGGTTTCTCGTATGGTGACGTCTTGGGCGCCGGCCAGGGTTGGGCCAAGTCCGTTTTGCTGCACGAGAACACCCGCAAGGAGTTCCAGGAGTTCTTCGAGCGTCCGGACACTTTCGCCCTAGGTGTCTGCAACGGCTGTCAGTTCCTGTCTCGTATCAAGGATTTGATTCCTGGTGCGGATTACTGGCCCAGCTTCGAGCGCAACACCAGCGAGCAGTACGAAGGCCGTGTCTGCATGGCCCGCATCTCCGACCCCGACCCATCTCGCCCCAGCGTCTTCTTCCACGGCATGGATGGCACTTCGCTCCCTATTGTCGTCGCTCACGGCGAGGGTCGTGCCTCCTTCGCCGGCTCCCGGGGCATCTCGGCTTCCGACTTCGTTCGCGAGGGTCTTGCCCCCGTCCGATTCGTCGACAACGCCTCCCTCAAGCCCACCATGAAGTACCCCTTCAACCCTAACGGAAGTCCCGAGGGTATTGCCGGTGTGCGCAGCCCCGACGGTCGTGTCCTTGCCATCATGCCTCACCCTGAGCGTACTATCATGAACGGTATTGCCAGTTGGTTGCCTCCGAACGCCGAGTCTTGGGGCGAGATTGGCCCTTGGGGACGTGTCTTCTACAGCGCCAGACGCTGGGTTGGTTAGAATTTTTAGTTCTTATTTACGAAGCTTTTCTTTTTCTGTTTTTTCCCTCATCTTTTCTGAGTTCTTGTCCATATACTCTTTGTGGTGGAGTTGAAAAAAAAATGAACATGCCAGAATGACCTCTCAAATCAGTATATAGCAAAATTGACCAATAATATTTCCATTTGAATATAAATCCAGTACTATAATATCTATAGTCGAACGGAATCGTTCCGAGTTACCTGAGGGCTATCAGAAGGAATGGAGATTAGCGGAGATAGAGCGGGGAGGTCCACGGTGAGCCACTCATCCCACCTTTGGCTCTTTTTGCTCTTTTTGCCCTTTCTGCCGAGATCTCTTCATTTGGACAACTCTCTTGTCTTCTCCTCTTTCGCTCTCTCGCTCTTTCTCTATTGCATTCTTATATTCTTCTCTTAAATCCCTGCTTTTCAGCCCACCATGGATTCCGCGGCGCAAGCAAGATTCGATCTCGTGAGACCCTATGTAAACCGTCTTTCAAACAACCACTCATTTCTCGCAGATCAATTCGAACCTCGCCGAATTCCTCAATCCAGAGATCATCCAGGACGTATTGAAAAGCGGACGCAATCCTAGGGTGTACTGGGGCACAGCGGTCCGTAAAAAAAATACTGTCCTTGTCGCGACACACCCCGCTAACACGTCTTCTCTTTTCTAGACCACCGGTCGTCCTCACATTGGCTACTTTGTGCCAGCGCTAAAGATCTCGCAGCTGCTACTCGCAGGCTGTGATGTTACGATTTTGCTTGCTGATGTACACGCCTTCCTCGATAATGTAAGCGCATACCTTTCGGAGTGACTCATCCAGATCCCGATCTAACCAGCCCTTTTTGAGATAAACAGTTGAAGGCGCCGCTCGAGCTAGTGGAACAACGTTCGATTTACTACCGAAACATCATCACCTCTATCCTCCAGGCCGTCGGAGTTCCTACTGAAAAGCTCGAATTTGTTCTTGGTAGTTCTTACCAGAAGAGTCCTGAATATGTGCTTGATGTGTACAAGTTGTCCTCTTTGATCTCCGAAGGTCAAGCCAAGAAGGCGGGCAGTGAGATTGTCAAGCAGACCGGCAATGCTCCGTTGAGTGGGTATGGACATCCAATTACTCTCGTCCATATGGATTGCGCAACACACCAATACTAACCGTTCACCAGACTATTGTACCCGGTTCTCCAGGTTCTCGATGAGCAACATTTAAATTGTGATGCTCAGCTTGGTGGAATTGACCAGAGGAAGCTCTTCACTGCAGCGACAGAATGGCTCCCTAAGATTGGATACCGTGTTGTGAGTTGCTATCCTACAATGTTAACTAGCTATTGGAGGCTTACCTATATCTAGCGCGCCCACCTTCTCAACCCTATGATGGCCTCTTTATCCTCCGGCAAGATGAGCTCTAGTGATAGCCCAGGTAATTTCCTCCCCTCTTATCAGAAGTTATCATTATTAGTATGCTAAACCCCGATCAGATAGTAAGATCGATCTCCTCGACTCCGCCGAAAGCATCACAAAGAAGATCCGCAAGGCAGAGTGTTTCCCTAAGATCGTCGAAGACAATGGTGTGCTTTCATTAGTCGAGCACATTCTCCTCCCCGCAGCTGTCCTCAAGGGCCACGGAGAATTCCGCGTCGAGCGTAAGGACGCTGAGCCTCTGGTCTTTACCGATATTAAGCAGGTACACGATGCTTACGCAGCCGATATTGTATGTCTACCTATCTTTCTCACCCCAAAATGCTTGTATCATTTACTAACAAACGTTATAGTTGACACCACAGCTGCTTAAGCCTGCTGTCTCGGCTGCCATGGTCGCCCTTATGGCCCCTATTCACGCCGCTTACACAGCCTCGCCTGAATGGCAGGAGGTTACATTGAAGGCTTACCCACCTCCAGTCGTACAAAAGAAGGTGAAGAAGGTTAAGGACAGAGGCTCTCGCTTCCCCGGTGCGAAGCAAGAAGAGACAGCCCAGCCTTCGGAGCAAGAGGCCGCTCAACCTTCTGAGCAATAGATGGTTTGTGCAAAAGAATAGAGCGCAGATCAGACATCTAAGACTGGCCACCCTCCGCATACTTGGCAATACATCCGGACTCTAAGGCTCCAATGGGACGGGGTTGGTGATCGCTCCGTGGACATCCATGCAAGTCTACAGTCCCGGCCGAAAAAGGATTGGTCGGCTGTTTGAGTTTCCGAATCGGGTGGAGGACAGGGCTACTTTATCTTGAGACAGAAATTTATGTATGTGGTTTTAAAAAAGTCATAATTGCGTCTTCCACTCAAATTCTAAGCTACGTAACGCCAACTCCCGCTAGAACCAAAACAGGGGTATTTATATCAATGCCTACGCCAATTCTGCCTCCATTCGAGCCTGTCAGCAAGAATATCCCAACTTTGAAGCCCGTCATCTGCACGGGCTAGACTTTTCAAGCCATCCGTGACAAAGGCGGTTAGATGGTTGAAGTTGTTGTTGACTGTTTTCATCTGCTGGCTGTAGGTCGAGTCGCGAAATGAGACTGTGAGTGTGTGTTCGTGGTTCATATCGTCGTAGTCCTCATCATCATCATCGGAGTCGAACTCGTCTTCAGAGTCTCTCTTTGTGCGCGGCGCGATAAGACTCTCCAGATGTTGTTGTTCGTCCCCGAGCAAGTGCGCAGCCTGTAGATCTGCGAAATGAACACACAGATCGAGAAAATCGATGATTGCGTCATGAATATGTGATAAATTTTTGCAGAGGAGGCACTGCGCTTCCAAAGAAGACATGTAGGATTGATGGGCAGCTATCATGGCATCAACATCTTTTGCGCTAGATAAATCTTTGTGTAGAGATTGGGTTGCGGTGGATATCACGAGATAGGTCAGATGGCCGTAGATGAAATCGAGGACCCAGAGCATGTTATGATGTAGAGCGTGCACCAATGTGTCATTGTCGTCGGGTGTGGTGATGCGGGCGTCGCGAATACGCTGTTTCACGATGGCATGTTTAGCGCGTCTGATTTGCATCAGAAAGGTCGAGATCCGTTGGTAAGTGTGTATTGCGTCCTCGGTGATTATATTCGCAATAGGCCATGGGAGGCCATAATCAATTGAAATTGCTTCCAGAATCCTCACAGTTCGATTTTGAGAGACCCGCGATGGAGTACTAGCTGGCCGCATAAGGATTCTTGAGGTGTCAATGACAGATACTGAACTGAAGGCCGTCCTCGATATCTCAGTGAGCAGGAACCTATCATCCCAGGAACGACCCCGATCGATCAGCTCAAATATTTTGGCATCAACAATGCTGACGGCGCTCATGTCTTTGGCGAGGTAGACATGCTGAAGAGCATCAAGCGAGGTCCATAATCCGCATTGTTGGTCGAGTTCGGTTCGTAATAAACTAGCACTGAGTGAATGATCCACATCCACGAGCTTTTCAAATGCAGACTCTACTAACGCGGGGAAAGGAAGTACATGTAATAGTGAAGGATCCTGGGAATAGAGATCCTCGAATCTCATGGCCTCAATATCTGGTGGCGCATTCAGATAGCGCAGAAATACCATGCTCTTCCCCGCTGTAAAAACTTTCTGGACACCAGGTTCGAGGAACTGAGGGATCCTCTGCTGCCTATATCCCGTATCAAGCACAAACCAGTCATGCCAAAGAGTTCGTAGATCCTTGTTCTCATTCTCGCGATTGGATCGCACGAAGAAAGTGCTGTCCGAAGCATCGACCTGACCCGTTTCCATCCAGAGTCGGATCGAGCTTGAATATGTTTTGAAACACATAAAGAATAGCTCCGCTAGGCTTTGGGACGTACTTTCGTCGCCAAGGGCCTCTAGCATGCATACTAAATCGTATAACGAATCAAGGCAGCACATTGGTTGATCAGTCGAGTTATCAGCTAGCTTGGTGATCATTTCTGAGAGTAATACTAGCTCGTGAGAGTTTTGACGAACGTCAACAAGAAGCTGGATGAGACTGACAGTTGACCCGGCAGAAAGGTATTTGCACTGAACTTGAGATAAGACTCTATCAAATTCAAGGAGACGGACTTCTAAGGCCCGGCAAAACGTCTGCATGTATGGAATTGTCTGTGGGAGCTTGGTAAAACATCGTATATCGTTGAGTTTGGCGCCTATCTCGATGAAACACTGCAAAAGCGATGCTAGAGCTTCACTGGATGAATGTGCGAGTGCGTATCTTCGATCCACTCCGAAATCATCATCCAAACGTACATAAATGGACGTCGGAAGGCCCTGAAGCATAAAGATGGTCTCTCTAGCAAGTTGAGATTCCGTGATAAGTCGCGAGGTGGCTGCTTCTCCCTGGGGCAACGAAGGGTGGTTTTCCGCTCTCCAAAATTGAGCCTTTTCTAGAGAGGCAACAAGATCCCCATCCTCTGGCGAAACAAAAAAGTCATCTGGAATGGTGTACCCTTCATCCACTGTTGTGGCGGATTGAGGCCTGGGCTTTGGAAGAGATACATCACTGGCAACGGATGAAAAGTCGTCATCTGATGAGTCGCCAGCAAAGTCGACCTGTTCCCAAATTTCTTCGTCGCTGAATGCCGTCCCTTCTGCATTAAGGTCCGACCAAGAAAGGGTCTCTTTTGCTTCTGGTGCCTTGGCCCCTTCCGTTGGACGTTTGACCGTAGACAAAAGAGCGGGGCGATCTGAGAGCTGCAGTAAGAGACTCAGGATCTCTGGGTGCCAGGACGTCCGATTGCTCTCCAGCTCCGCAAGACGGATGTGAAGAGCTTCAGCAAGTTCATCTCTATTCAAGATTTGAAACTTTTCCTGTAGTCCCTCGAGTTGCTTGGTAACTGCAAACTGGTCGGTGCGCGTATGAGAACCAGTTCGGAGACCACCTTGTACACGACGCTTCAGATTTTGAACACGCACAGACCCCTGCATATATATTAGGACACTGTGAGTGACAATATGAGAATGATAGCAAGATATATTATTACCTTCTGGTCCGGTGATATCTTGGCAACGGAAGTGATCAAGGCATCGATAAGCGTACTCAGATCAGCCGCGAGAGCCATTTTCAGAGATAGACTCGGATTCAGAGTCAAAGATAAATCACATCGAGACGTCTCCAGACGTCATAAAGTGAAGAAGCATAAAGTCGAAGAGAGACCCAGATGTTTTGCTTGGGTGGCGCTAGTCCCGATAAGGTAAGATGGCCACTCTTATTACGCGCCTCTCTCTTCCTCCGACCATCTCCCCCCTTTAAGCAAATACCACCATCATGGCTATCGCACGACCGATTCGCATGCTGGGTGCAGCCTGCATCCTTCTTTGTCTATTCCTTGTCTTTCAATTAAACCAGAGCTCCTCTGAAGAAGGGTCTAAGTTGGTTCATGGCATGAAAAAGGATCCTCTTGTAGATCGTGCGTGACCCCGGTTTCTTGCCACACCTCCTATTACAACCATCGCACTCTAAGTGCCATACTAACTAGTTGTATAGCGACCGGAGAACCTGTTGGAAACTTATGGCGAGCCGACGAACACGATTACTCCCCCGATAGCGAAAAATCGGCCCGCACCAATGCTGCGCTCATTACTCTTGTTCGCAATGAGGAACTAGGTCAGCTACTCTCGACAATGACTGACCTGGAGCGAACATGGAACAGCAAGTTCAACTATCCCTATATCTTCTTCAATGATGTGCCTTTCACCGAGGAATTCAAGCAGAAGACTCAGGCAATGACCAAGGCTAAGTGCCAATATGGTACGCATTCCAGTCCGGTTAGAACGAGATGAACCATACCTAACTTTTATTGCAGAACTTGTACCCAAGGAACACTGGGATGTCCCAGAATGGATCAATATGCCCCTCTTCCACGAGTCCGCAAAGGTGTTGGAGGAACAAAACATCCAATACAGCTCCAAGATCTCCTATCACCAAATGTGTCGCTGGAACAGCGGCCTGTTTTACAAGCACCCAGCCCTCGAAGGCTACCGCTACTACTGGCGCATCGAGCCCAATGTCAAGTTCTTCTGCGACGTCGACTACGATGTGTTCCGATACATGGAGGATGGCAACAAGACCTATGGCTTCACCATCAACCTCTACGACGCACCGCAGAGTATCCCGACCCTTTGGCCCGAGACTCAGAGATTCCTCGCCGCCAACCCGTCGTACCTCAGCGACAACAATATGTGGGAGTGGATTACGGATGACGTGGCCCGTCCTGAGCACACCAAGATGGCCAATGGATACTCAACCTGCCACTTCTGGTCCAACTTTGAAATCGGCGATCTCGACTTCTTCCGCGGCGAAAAGTACGAGGCGTACTTCCAGCACCTGGATCGTGCTGGCGGATTCTTCTACGAACGCTGGGGTGATGCTCCCGTCCACTCCCTTGGCGTTGGTCTTTTCGCCGATGCCGCCAACGTCCACTGGTAGGTCACATCCTCTTTCTCTCATTTAAGAACCCTAACTCATATTTATTTTCACTAGGTTCCGCGATATCGGGTACAACCACATCCCGTACCTTAACTGCCCCAATTCTCCTAAGTGCTCTGGCTGCAAAGCTGGCCAGTTCTTCCAAGGCGCAGACTTCCTTTCCAAGGAGGATTGCCGACCCACTTACTTCAAGTATGTTGGAACGCACTAATTATCACGATGTCCCGTTTCATCTCTTCTCTCGTCTCTTGTCATTCTGGAGAGTGCCTCACGACTCGATTCCTTGCATACCCCTATGACTATATTACTGAATATCAGTGGCTTGGTACCTGGCGTTTAAGCGGACACATACCTGTGTGTATTGATGATTTTGTGTTCCTTTTTTCCCCTCTCTATTTTTGGTTTATTACTTGTCACAAAATATGTTTTGGCCATTTTGCTGTCTTCTGGAGAGCTCCTGGGTCCTTGTTTACATTGTACTTATATTGATTGCGCATGGTCACTGTTGGAGGCTCGGTTCGTCGCAGTTGTCATTTTGTGTGATATATTGGCTACTTAGGAACAAAAACCGAGATTCAAACCAGTCTGGTTATTCAACCATTTAGAAGAAGTAATATTCTCCGTAGGATTAAGTGTAGGAAAGTTGATAATTAAGGAATGAGGATTGAGGATCGAGGACTGAGGACTGACTTGAGCGGTTGATGATACAACAATGCAGGATGACTGAACAAGATGGAACCAAGATAGATTAAGCACCAACCAAGGCACTGAGGACCTTTTTCCAGACAACAGCAGCACTAACAACACGAGAGGTCTCTAAAGTATGTATACAGTTTTCTCTTCTACCTAACCTAATCCTCAGCCAGTCAAACAGTGCTGGATAAACAACGTGCGAGGGGGTACTGTTTAAGAGAAAATTGACGTAAAAGTGGAATTGATGATGGGAATTTACGCCTCCTGGGGGTAGAGCTCCTCCCGGAGAGCGACGCCCAGCTCGACGCGCAGACTCTCGAGGGACTCGAGATATTGCTTGTACTGGTCGGGGTTCTCAACCTTGGCCTTGACACCTAATGACGAAATCACATTAGCTTCGGTTCAACGAGCAACAATACTAGTGCTCCTAGATAGGATATTATGAAAGCGTACCCTCGAAGACGCGAACAGCGGTAGGGAAGTCGTTAACACGGCGGGCGGCCTTGAGAGCAGCAGTGAGGACCTCGACGGAGGGAACGAGATCGTAGGCGAAGCAGTTGTTCAGGTTGCGCTGTTTGCAAAGATTATGCATTAGTCAATTGTCGAATTGGTGCGGATATGGAAGCCGCAAGTTGAGTGACGAGTGTGGCTGATGCCATGTATCGCATGCCGATCAATATGCCTCAGGTGAAGTCGAGAGTGTCATACCTGGAGCTCGAAAACGTCCTGCACACCATCGAATTCCTTCTCAAATCTGTCATTGGGACATACAGTCAGTATGAGATGTCCCTATCATATCCAGACGATTGCCGATGTTGGCTCCGGGAAGCGCCTAACACAGAGATGCAAGGCGCTTCTGTCCGACTCCTCCGACCTCAATGGCTTGCGATTGGGGGCGTACCTGGCAGAGAACTCTTCGTATGTCTCATCCTCGTGGCCGGAGCGGAGCATAGAGGTAGTACCGAAGTTGTGGGCGCGGGCGGCAGCCAGAGTCACCGGGGACTGCATCCGGGACCGGGTCAATTGGGGAGCTCTGAAGAAGCCGGTAGGGCGAACGGCGCGGGTCGCCACGCGGAAGATGGATAGGGACGACATTTTCAGAAGGTGACCACGGTGGACCGAACAGGAACAATAGTGAGGGGAGAAGTGTGGATGGGGACGGGAAGGGGAGGTGTGAAGTGCCTCTAGGATTTTGCGGGTGGTGTGGTGTTGGCGCCTGAGGCATTAACACGGGTGCTGAGTCATCATCCGATTGGCCCCGTTCCAAGTTGTCTTGATCTCAAATGATGATCGCTGATTGGCTAGATGGTTGTCACTTTCTAGATGCGTGTCATTGGCCGAGTCTTAAGGTCATGACAGTTCCAAGGTTGAGTTCAAGTTATATTTCAAGGTTGTTCTCATATTTATTTTACATATATATATCGGTATTATACGATAGCTAAACATTGAAGAAGTATGTAATCTCAAAACATGGAAGATAGGCTATGGTGGTACTTGGATGTTCAAGTATATATTTTCGATCCATTGTTGCGCAAAGAAGCCGACTCAAATAATTATTCGAACAATCTCCAATTAAATCTATCCATTGTGAATATGCTATTCCATAAGCTCAGGAAGATAGGCAAGGACTGGATAATTTGACTAGATACATGAGTGGTGGCTCTTGCCAGGTGAGCTTAGACCTCGGCTGAGAACAATAATTGAGGTTACTATATATTTGCCAACATCTTAATCTAAGATCTTTATAGCTTTCAATTATATAGGTCCACGGATATACTGCTACTTTTAGCTAAACAGGGAACTTCACAAGAGATGAAACAAGGTTTATATTGATCTATATAATTTTATTCTACGGATAGTTATACCGTATACATCATACACTGCAGGGGTTGCCAGCAGCTGGTGTAAACGACCTTTATATCCCCGCCAAAGCTACTCCCAATGGCATTCAGTTGTACCAATAATAGGAAATGACTAGATTTCCAATGCAACGCTTCGGGTACGGATCTAGTTAAGGCGGAGACTGGAATCCACCTAACGCATTAGCCATCCGAGGGCAAAAGGTAGTCAAAGATATGTACGAAGTACTCCGTAAATACAACATAGTAGGTGAGGATAAGGCCTCGGCAACTTCGTACATAACTTCCAAGGGTATTTCTTTGTAATGTATAAGGCACTATTGGAATTTGATTACTCCGTAGACTAGCATGTGATAGTCTCACACTAAGGACAACGTATTCAACAACACAATGCAGTGTGCACTACATATCTTGTAATCTAGAGTTTTTATTAAGAATGATAATAAGATCTAATTATATGAATCTGATAACTGTTTCACATGTTCGGACAATATACTCCTGTCGATGCGATCGGAACCTGATCTCTGATCTTCCCCTTTTTTTTTAATGACACGCTAAACCCTTTTGGGTCCTCAACGGACGCGCCGGACGCAAAAAGTAATTGCTCTCTTATTTCTCCAGCTTTTCCCTCTCTTCTCTTCCTCCCCCTTTCTCACTTTCATTTCTTTGGCTTTATTTCCATTCATTCTTTTCCTTTTCTTGCCTTTCTTGTTTTGGCGGTTCATTGCAGTCCCATTACTGCCCCGTCAAGAAAAGAACAGGTTGCCTTTCAGGGCTATCTCTATCTTCAATACCACATCCATTTGGTTTGAGAGAACAACCCAATCCTGTCACAATGGCGTCCGAAATCCTCAAATATGTCTCGGCCCCGACTATCGATCGTCCCTTCGGTGTGCACTTGTGGCCCCTCTTCGACCAGGCCTACGAGAAGGTCATGGGATATCCCGCCAGCGAGTTCAACTTCACCGAAGGTGTGACCCCTCTGTCCACCTTGAAGGAGACTTCATTGATGCTTATCACCTACTACTTTCTCATCTTCGGTGGCCGTGAGGTTATGAAGAAGTTGCCTGCATTCAAGCTTAACACCTTGTTCATGATTCACAACCTCCTTTTGACCACCGTCAGCGGTATCCTGCTGGTCTTGTTCATTGAGCAGCTGCTCCCCACTCTCTGGAGACACGGAGTCTTCTACACTATCTGTGATCAGGAGGGTGGTTGGACTCGCCCTCTCATCATTCTGTACTACGTAAGTTGCGAAGCGCTTGAGCCATTGGAAGGAGAGAAACTTACACAAACTTGATTAGCTCAACTACATCAACAAATACGTCGAGTTCATTGATACCATCTTCCTGGTCCTTAAGAAGAAGCCATTGACCTTCCTTCACACCTACCACCACGGTGCTACCGCCCTGCTCTGCTACACTCAACTTATCGGTGTGACTGCCGTGCAGTGGGTGCCCATCACCATCAACCTGCTGGTCCACGTCGTGATGTACTGGTACTACTTCCAGAGCGCCCGTGGCGTTCGCATTTGGTGGAAGAAGTACATCACCATGCTGCAGATCCTCCAGTTCGTCATTGACGTCGGTAAGTCGTTTCAGGGCCCGGAAACCTGCAAAGAATGGGAATACTGACAGTTTTAAGGCTTCATCTACTTCGCCTCGTACACCTACTTCACCTCCGCCTACTTCCCGTGGCTCCCCAACATGGGCAAGTGTGCCGGTGAGGAATTCGCTGCCATGGCTGGTATCGGCATCATCAGCTCCTACTTGGTTCTGTTCATCTCCTTCTACATTGCCACCTACAACAAGGCCGCCAAGACCGGACGTCCCCGCCGCAACACTGGCCAAAAATCGTTGATCGACATGAAGAACTTCGAGATTCCTTCCCCGGCCGGTACCGGCAGCGCCAAGTCCACTGGCCGCTCCAACGGCCCCGTGACTCGCTCTCGCAAGGCCTAGATAATCATCTAAAGCACAATCGCGTCTGAGTGTTTTCAGCGTGTGATTTGGAAGAATTATATTGCCCCACAAGTTTGGTTGTGGAATCATCCTAGGATGAGCCATTGATTCATCCAATGCTTGTGGCCAAACAAAGCAGAAGGGCAGAGTGGCTGCTCTTGGGTGATGCGTCCCTATATTTGTTTAATGAATGACCACCTCATGATGCCAGGTCCATTACCCGGGCATGGTGTATGTGCCTCGGAGTTGTCGGAATACATGCGCCGAAACTTTTGTCGGAAAATCCACCGGGGAATGAATGCTGTTGGATTACCCCGGCGGTCTCGTCAGGGTTGTATTTTATAATGTTTTCTTCTTCTGTTCATGTTTGTCGTTATCACCCGTTTGGTGGCAGGCCATTGGATTGTACCATTAGCCCTTATTATTATTAAAGTGTTCATTGATAGACGTCAGCTCATTATGTCAAGATAAATGTAATCATGTCCGTTCCTGAAGCGTTTAGTCGGTAAATTGGGAAAGAGACTGCATACCATATGGCTGGTTCGCGTCTGGTCAGCCAAAACATGTTTGCTTTCCCAAGGTTGATTGCCCATGTTGTCAGCACCTTCCGCATCGCTGGGATTCAAGATGCACCCATGCAGACACAGCCCGTATCCCAAGAGACATTTCAGCCAGGCTGTCTGTCTCTCGAGGCTATCATCAAGCCCCTCCATTTCGCCCAAACCATTGAAAGCTAAACAAATAGCCAGTCTGTTGATATGGCAACATAAAGCTTATGTGTACTGACCTCTGGTAGCACAATGTGCAGCATCACACTGGAAACTGCACAGAAGAAACAGAAACGCAGGAACAGACACCGCCAGGTGGAGCTTCGATGCATCATGGCCAGTGCGATGAGGGACTCAACGCCACGAAAGTGATGTATCTCATTTGCCCCGGACATTGACCCCGTGAGCAAGGCGATCATTGTCAAAGTGTCGAGCGCCAAAACGGTCAGCCTCAGCCTCCAGAGAGGGAAATCCCCCCAAAAAAGAGAGGCTTGAATTCGAAAGGCGAGGAGCAAGGCAGGTTATATCCAGCCTCCCAGGTTGAAAGAGCGGTGGTAGCCATCACATCTCCCAACATAAAGCCCAGCCATTGATGTAATGGGGCTGGATACAATTCAATAGACCCGGGCAAAAAGAAAAGTCAAAGGCAGGAAAATATGGTTTATTCGCTCAAAAAAGTTACAAGCGCCTTGCTTGGATGTCATGCGCGTGGTTTATTCGGAGACTGGAAGGATATGCAGGTCCGGGCTTTGCTGTCGGAGCATAGACGTCAATTCAAAAAAAGAACAGGAAAAAAGAAGAGAAAAAAAGAAAGGGGATTCGCAAGCAGTAGTGGCCGTCTTGACGTTTATAGTGAAGATCAGCACATCAACTTACGATGGCCCTGGTCGGATTTGAAACGCTTTGGATATGTCAACGGAGCTATGGTGCCGAATTCTTCTAGCGTTGAGACCCACTGGGTACGGAGTATATTGGTTGGTCAATGCAGGCCGGTTGAAGCAAATGTCAAGAGTTTGACGTGCAGAAAGTGTATGCTGTATGCATAAATGAGTTGGAAATATTGAGTCCTTGCCGGTGGTAATAGTATAGATGTTGTAGTACTCTGTATTATGACTAATGATGATAGATGATATCCATTGATGACAAGTGAGATAGATTGGAAAATCGCCGAGATATGGATGTTAGATGTAAGGAGAATACGGAGTAAGAGAGTTTTTTTCATCAGTCTATCGAGCATCTTGGCTGATGTTCATCGTCATGATCATTCCGAGTCCTTCAGGAGTGTTCATAGGTATAACCCCTGAGTTCTCTCCCTGAAGAGTGTAATATACCTCCAACCTCCAACCCCCTCCAGGTTAGCATCTCCGGACCCCTGGCATCTTTTGCAAGGAGAGTTTTTCCCTCCGAAGTAAACCGAGTGCACCGTTTGAAACTAAAGAGAGAGGTTCGTAAGTGCGTTTGAGTTATATACGGCCCCACTGATCTCGGACTTGGCAACTTGTTAAACGCCCGGAGCGACGTGATTCGATTACTTTTTTAGTGACTTGCTGTTCCACCCTATTCCCACTGCGGGCGCGTTCATTCCAATCTAAACTGTTCATGTTGAGGAGTTAGTCCATATGTGGACCACATATGGAATGCTTCCAGGGACAGATGTCTCATCGATATCCCGCTCTTTTTACTCCTGATCTTACGGACTAGAGATACTTTTCCTTCCCTAGATACTTTCCTAGATACTTTCCTAGATACAAAAGACTTTTCCTGGTTTGGCCCTTGGTGCATACATTTTCAGGCCTTGATATGCATGAATGTCCAATCATTGACGTAGAACAAATCGCGGAGTATTAGCCTTGACCAATAGCTCATGATGATCTATCAGATTAGGCCCGAATACATAAGGATATACGGAGTAACATTATAATATTATAATATTCTTCTTCTTAATCTATTTATTCTTTTCTCTTTTAGTCTAGTCTTCCCGCCACGATATCCAGTGCGCGTTTTCTCCCCCTGCTGAAACTGGTGCCAACCCGCCCTATTTTTCTCCATGCAAGGGTGAGACACCAATCACGACCCTCGTCAAACCCTCAAGGTTCATTACGCGCTGGCTACAAATTTAGTACAACTAGTAAAACTAGTAAATTCAGGATTTATTGACCTACACGTGTACTCCGTGCAGGGTATGGAAAATGTCCCTGGATGCCTCTTTTCTTCCTTCTCCTCCGTCCGCCTATATACTCCGTATGTCCCCTGCCCATAGCTCCTTGGTCCCACCTCGGTCCACTTCCTTAAAGAGCCCTTTTGTCACCCTGGTGGATTGTCGGATCTCCTTTGCAGCTTTGCACCCGGATATTTGACACTTACATCTCCCTGGGGGTTTCCTTTTTACCCTATTCTTAGTCGGTCTTTTGGTTTTGGTTTTGCAGTTCCCTTTGGATTCGGAACTACCTATACTTTGGAACAGTCACTATTTCTTCTGTTCTATCTTCGATCCCCGATTACAACCATATCACTGTCGGGAACATGTTCGAACCTACTCCCTCACTGAGCCTACACCGCTTGAGTAGGCATAGCCTTCAAGATCGATACGAGTCGGACGAGGAGGCTGTATCTGAATCTGATACAGGCGCCCAAGATCTACTTTCCTCGCCCGTAGGCTCACGAGCCGGCATCTTTGACTCAGATCTCAGTGCCGACGAGAATTCACAATATTCTGATCGGGAAGAACAGATTCTGGCTCCGCCAACAGCCAAACGGGCCCGTCCTGTCTCTTCGGCTACAATCAAGAGAAACAGCGATGCCACTTTTGACGAAGATACATATGTCTTTGATCCGGAAGAGCAGCTGATCCTTGAACTGCCACCGTCAGATTCTCCACCACTGGAATCCAGCACCTTCTTACAGCCATCCGTATACGTCTGGCCTAAACCACAGCCGGCCAACTCAAGATCTCGCTCTGCTTCACCCTCATCGGTCTTTTCCGTAGAGGAGGCAGATATCCAGGTTGCCAAGGAGGTGACAATCATGGAGCCTGGAACTCGTCCTACAGTGGTCTTGATCAACGCTCTGGGGTCACGGTCAATGCCCTCAAAACCCCGTCCCAGCCATAACCGCGGCCGGGAAAGCAGCCGCACCCGCTCTATGCTTGTCAGGGCTGACAGTCGCCGACTTACAATGCAACGCTTGTCCGACCCAGCGAACAAGTCACCACGAGTATCTGAGAAAAGAAACACCATGAAGCAGGCGCCCAAGCCAGCCCCAATGCCAGCCCCAACCCCAGCCCTAGAAGAAGATACACAATTCGCACTTAGTGCAACCATCAACCGAGTCTCCGAAATCTCATATTTCCCAGCACCACCACGCACACTCCCAACCCAAGAGTACCGACCCCGACCCCGAACCTCAGGCCTGGAAAAGACAATGCCCCCACCACTAAGCCTGCGCACTCGTCGACCTCCCTCAATGCGCAGCATAAGCAGCATCAGCATCCCAACCTACAACTCTCGCCCATCAACGCCCTTCTCACCCGAGGACGGCAAGCCAAATAATTACACCGACGTACCATCCCCACTCACCAGAACCTGCAGCCCAACCTCAATCTCACCCGCCTCACCACAACCATACATCTCCTCGAAGCGCGTCCCTTCAACCTACAGCGTATCGAATATTCTCACAAGTCGCTCGCCACTTATGATGCGTCGCATGACAAGGAAACACTCTGCCTCTAGCGTGCATTCGCTGAGTAGTCTGCGCTCAGAGGTCGACGTTAATGGTCCTTCTTCATCGCAGATCTCTGTCGCGACCCAGCCTGCCCCGCATCCCAGTGCTGACTGCCATGTCGTGCGAAAGTCTAGTCAGCGTCGCCATACTCGACATGCTAGCGTTTTGCCCAGTGGGAGGGGGTTTATGGGATTGAAGCTGGGGAAGAAATCGCATGCTAAGGCATAGAGATGGGGTTCTTGGCTCTTGATTTTTTTTTCTTTTGTTTTCTGATACTTAACATATATCGACCTAGTAATGTTTTTATGGGGGGTTTTCTTTTGTATGGCTTGGGGTTTTGGGGTTTTATTCTGGTGTCTTTTGGCTTTTGCTGGTTTCTTTTCTTTCATCTCTTCTCCTCGTCACCTCTGTTTCTGATCAGCTAATGTATGACGGGCCTTGTCTTGGACAAGGGCAGAATCAAGTCGCATTCTGGAATGCTAATGTCTACTTCAATATTTGGCGCATGATATTTGATTTTGGGAAATTATTGGGTGGTTTTTTTTTGGTTCTCATTATGGTTATTTTATTAGGTCTGAATTACACAGCTAAACAGCTATCGAGACATTTCTTCATACTCTTCCAAGGTTAGGATGTGGATGTAAATAGTAGATAAATATTAATCTCCCTGTAATCATACAAATGAAGACCCCATAGTCTCCCACCCCCACCATTGTGGCAAAACGTGAGGGATATTATGCGTTTCCTTGGGAAAGATTACGTGTCTTCCTAGCCTACAGGAAGCTTAGCAAGGGGTACTCGACGACTCCCTGGCAGCATAGACCGGGAGGACCTGCTGGAGTCGGGTTAACGCAAGTGAATTCCTCGCTACACAGCCCCAAGGTCGGATATTATCAACTTTATCTTGAGCTTAGGACGTGCTATACTCCGTACTCTGGGCAATATAGAAAGGATGCGAAAATTTCGTATTTGTTTGACCCACTGCCCCGGTCGATCCCAGACTGGAGGGCTCGGTGCCCACTACAGTCCGCTAGGGGGTCGGGGACTCCACTATGGAGATCTTCATTAAATGCCAAGTTGGGCATTTTCTGAATTAGGATTGCCTTTCGTCAAAAAGGATTGTATTGCAAATGCATTAAATGACTCGATCTACTGAATAGTAAACCGCTAACTAAATAACAGTTCATCCAGCGTGGGCTTGGAATAGAGCAATAAATCAGCCACTGGGGCACAAGATTTCACAGTGAACAAGGAGCAATGCAAACATATGATGCAGGTATAAAGGGACTAGGGGCTAGTCGAAGCCTACTTTCGCGCCTCCAGGGCAGATTTAATGGCTATTGGAAATCAATTAGCATCGTTTCATTTTGTAGATATTCATGCAAGTAACACTTACCATCGCAAGAGGTCTTGGCATCGCCGAATAGCATCTGAGTACCGGGCATAAAGAACATGGGGTTTGGAACATCCGCTGTGGAGAATGTTAGGTGGATTCATTTATTAGGAATGGCGGAGAAGAAATCATACCATATCCGCTGGACATCCCCCGCTTCATAACTATAACCTCCTTACTCTTCCATGCATGGAGGACAGGCATGCCGGAGATAGCGGAGTCTGGCTCCATGGCGATAGGGTTAACGGTATCATTGGCGCCAATGACGAGGGTGACATCGGTATCCGAGAAGTCCTCGTTGATCTCTTCCATTTCCAAGACAACTGCATTATCTGTTAGCGAATGGATTATCCGTCTAGGACTATTAATGACTCACTATCATATGGCACGGATGCCTCTGCAAGCAGCACATTGCATTGGCCGGGCATTCGACCAGCAACAGGGTGAATAGCAAAGCGAACATTGACACCACGCGCACGCAGCAAGCCAACAATCTCCGAGAGAGCATACTGGGCTTTAGCAACAGCCATACCGTAGCCAACAATAATGATGACACTCTCAGCGTTGGATAGGGCTTCCACAGTGTCATCAATGGTGGTTTGCTTGATCTCGCCCTCAATCTTCTTCTGCGTTTGCGTCGTCGGGGTCGAGATTCCACCGAATAGGACATTGGTCAGCGACCGGTTCATGTTGACGCACATAATGTACGAGAGAATGGAACCGCTGACACCGATTAGGGATCCGACACTGGTGAGAAGTGGATTGTCAAGCATCAGGCCTTCAGCCACGAGGGCGAATCCGGAATAAGCGTTCAACACCGTGATGACGACGGGCATGTCTGCACCACCGATGGCTGCTGTCGTGGTGTATCCCTTCAAGAAACTGAGGACGGTGCTTGTTCCTAGACAGATAGCTGCGATTGCAGGGCTTCCAGGCGCCAGTGTAATGAAAGCTCCCATGGTTGCCATATTACTACCCAATAGCGTCGAATTGATAATGTGTCGGCCGGGCAGAATCGTCGGCTTCGAAGACATGCGCCCTGCCAGCTTTAGGAAAGCGACAATCGAGCCAGTAAATGTAATACCACCAATAAGAACACCCAAGTACGCGGTAGTCAGGTGTAGCGTTGTGATGTCACCAATATCGGCCATTACACTTCCGGCACTAGTCAAAACCGCAGCCAATCCTACCACTGAGTGGAGAGCAGCAACAGTCTGCGGAAGACCTGTTGGTGTGATGCGGCGGCCGATCAATCCTCCGATCAAGGCACCCGTTCCAGCAACAGCCGTGAACTGCGTCAGCGTCTCAGGAGAGAAGCCTACAGCAGCCAGTGAGGCCAGAATACCGGAGACTACTCCTAGGATACCGAAGATGTTGCCGCGTCGGGCTGTTTGCTGCGATGCCAAACTAGAGATCGAGCCCATGCACAGCATTGTGCTAACAAGATATCCAGCTTGGACCAAACCGGACATACCGGTGCTGGCAGCCGCAATGAAGCCACCTCCAAACACCACAGCAGGGACAGCGTACAGCCATGGGTACTCGGGAGGGTCAGTTGGACGCTTGAACATATCTAGCATGCGCTTTGTGACTACAAAGCCACCGGAGATGTTCACAAAAGCCAAAAGTACGGAGGCAGCACCGAGGTATTCTGGGATAGTAGTCGGTACATAGCCTCCTCCCATAATGAACAGACCACCAATGCCGACCATTCCCGAAATGGCGTTAGTAACGCTCATGAGTGGCGAGTGAAGAGCAGGTGCTACACCCCAAACAGCACGATAGCCGACTAGACCAGCAAGTCCAAAGGTCATCATGTTGCCCATAAAGACTGGACCAGCTGCCTTTCCTAGGGCCAGGGTTGTGCCCATTGCACCTGTCACCGCTGTCACATCGCGTGTTGCCTTTTGCCATGGTGTCAATGCGACTTCCTCCTTTGCCGCGACAGATTGTGCCTCTGGCTTTGGGGTTGGGGGTGGAGCGGGCGGAGCAGCAGGGGGGATTATTTCGCCATTTAGAGTCACGATGGAACCGCGCACAACTTCATCTTTGAAGTCAATCCCAAACGACTTCTCCTGGGGCGCCATGGAGAGAAGGTACTTGGTGATATTGTTTGAGTACAGAGTTGAAGACTGGGTAGGGAGACGTGAAGGAAGATCCGTGTAGCCGATGATAGTAACATCCTTGTAGCTGGCCAATTCCCCGGGAACAGTAGCTTCGCAATTTCCACCTGCCTCAGCAGCAAGATCAACGATAACAGAGCCGGGTTTCATTGCAGCAACCATTTCCTTAGTGATAAGCTTCGGTGCAGGTCTGCCTGGGATCAGAGCTGTGGTGATGATGATATCAACCTCTGTAGCCTGCTCCATGAACAATTTCATTTCAGCTTCGATAAATTCCTTGGACATTTCTTTGGCGTAGCCGCCCTGACCAGAGCCATCCTCCTGGAAATCAACCTCGACGAACTCGGCGCCTAAAGACTGGACTTGCTCGCGGACAGCAGGACGGGTATCAAAGCCACGAACAATAGCACCCATGCGGCGGGCAGACGCGATTGCGCTCAACCCAGCTACGCCAGCACCAATAACAAGAACTTTACTCGGAGGAATCTTTCCAGCTGCAGTGACCTGACCAGTCAAGAAGCGACCGAAGTGGTTAGAAGCTTCCAGCACCGCCTTGTACCCTGCAATATTGGCCATGGAGCTAAGGGCATCGAATGTTTGTGCACGAGAGATTCGCGGAATGCGATCCATCGCAAATGAGGTCACACCACGAGCCGCGAGTGCCCCGACGAGAGGCTTGTTCTGAAGGGGATAGATGAAAGAGATAACGGTTGAGCCTTTGCGTAAAGCCTGTATTTCATTGAATGGTCCCTCCGATTGCGGGCTGCGAACCTTCAGCACAATGTCACTCTGAGACCAGACTGATTCCCGGTCGACCATTGTCGCGCCGGCCTTTTTGTAGACATGGTCCAGTAGCTGAGCGCGCTCGCCTGCACCGCGTTCTATGAGCACACGGGAAACCCCTTTTTTCAGAAGAAGGGTAACATTCTGCGGGGTGATTGCCACACGGCGTTCACCAGGGAAGATCTCCAGAGGTACTCCAACAGTCAAGGCTGAGTAGGGGGTGGTAGACACGGGCTCGGAGGGAGGTGACTCAAGGGAGGTTGTGGCGGTTCGTTTGGAAATAGAGGGCCATCGCGGCTGGCAAACGGATAGGCGTTTATTTTGCGACGCGAAAGATGTAGCTTGTCGAATTTGAGAGGCTGATTAGAGGAAAGTGGTCAGAAAACAGCTCATCTTGGGCTTCCGATACCGCAATTTGGAGAAGCTTACCCGACGTCACTGGAAGGAAAGATTTCCCCACGCGAGCAATTGACGCCCCAAAACACGGCCGTACGGCTGACCGCAGGAATGCTGGAGCACTCATTGTGAGTAGTCTTGCAAGCTGCACGTTGTATCGGGTCTTTTTGTCTCATCCAAATGCCTATTGGGCCCAGGAAGGGGGTGCAGAACCGGGGTACCGCATCCAGACCGGAGTAAAGGCAGATAGAAGCAACTTTAGAGAGCTTTAAGAACAAAAGCCTCAGCAAGCATCAAGAATCACAACAAAAAGACAGAAAGAAAGAAGAGAAAGGAGGGGAAATTGAAGTTAAGTCAAAGCACCGATCTCGGCACAACTTCCAAGCAAAGAGGGGAAGCGGCTATGTACGATTCCTACCTTGTGATGAAACCCCTCGGATATTTGTAATTTGTATAGACTGGTGGGTTTCTTATTATTATTATTACTCTTGTTACCTCTATAGCCTATATTCTATAACTTATAGCCTTTTTTC